AACAGCCATGAAATTCCCAGGATTTTAGACTTGTGCGGCATGGAAAAAGACAGCTTATTTGTATAAAACCTTTGCCTCCTAACCAGTTTTACAAATTTCTGTACTGTGTTGTCTTAAATTGACCTACTGAATAGGCCATCCTGCGATAGAGGCAAGATTTGTGACCTTTGGCAGCAATGTTCTGCATAGTTTAGTGAATTAAGCACTCAGAATCAAAGATTCACCAAAATTAGATCTGTAAAATTTGATCATGCAGTGATTTATATGTGCAAAACTCTATTCTGGTGCACACAGCAGCTAATTGCATGCACAAATTTATATGTATAGAAACACATTTTATTAAACAGAATCAGATACTTGTGGGTTATGATCTTCCTTGTAAAACTTGACTATTTGAGTTCCATTTAGCAGTTGTCACAGCAGCTAGCGTGAAAACCACTGTGAAAGTTTTGGAACTAGTGCTCTCAGGGTCAGGCCCTGGCTCCTTCCACCCAACATATGACCATCTAACTGGTCTCCACATCCAGGGGTGGAGGAGGCAAAGTGCCAGAGGACATCTTCTTAACAGACCCTTATGTCACAGCTCTATGCTCTCATGTAAGAGAACTCTATGTAATAAATAAATAAAAATAAATTAACACCCCCCCCCGGTAGTTTTTAACTTCCACCCTTAAATCCATAATATCTTATTTTTTGTAACAATATTATTAAACATGAAATTAGCTTGCCTAGTAGGACTGCCACCCATCTGGGTTTTTACCTGGTTTGGGCTTCTGTGCCATTTAGGGTTGCCAGCTGCTCAGTTTTTGACCAGAAAGTCCAGTTGTGATGTACTGACCGGACACCAAAAGTCCATTTACTGTGCGGCAAGGGGAGGAATCAGGTCATTAACCCATGTTGGTCCCTGCTCAGCCAGAGCCGCCTCCTACCTGCATGCAGGCTCTTTGTCAGGCTGCAGCAGGTCCTGTCCCAGCCCTGGAACAGAGTGAGCCCAGATGGGCAGGGGAAGGTAGGTGGAGATAATCCAGCAAATGACCGGGGATGGGAGGAGGAGCAAACAATGAGGGAGGGAACTTGGGGGCAAGAGGTAGAGCATGGGGTTGCCTTGTGGGAAGAGGCAGAGAAAGGGGCGGGGTCTGGGGAAGAGGCAGAGAAGGGGGTTGGGCTTTGAGGGAAGAGGTGGAGCAGGGGTAGGGCCTCAGCCGTCCAGCTACCAGCAGTTAGAAAGGTGCCAACTCTCTTGCCTAACTATTGTATAAAAATCTCATCCACTTCTGGTCTTATCAAAACCAAAGCAATATTTCATTGATCATAAAAAGATAAATAAAGTGGCAGTACATTTCCTAACTTTCTTACAACATATATAATACTTAAGAAATCAAATTACGTCATTGATGTAACTTTTTAAAATTTAACTTATACTTTAAGTAGAATAGTAGATCACGACTCCTTTCCTGACACTTTAATACTTTCTATTTATGCATTAATTGTAACTATCTAAGCTTTCATGTATAAATGATCTGTGTCAATCTTTAATTCACTTCACTCCCTCGGTGACACACAAGTCTTTTATTAAAGAGGGTTTTTTAAAAATATATAATATTTGTGTTAACTTGCAATGGAAATTATTCATGCCTGGTCTATAGTGCTATCACTCTAATGGTGCATAGCTTCTATGAGATCATATGTGAAGGCCTACCAGACTAGCTTGCATGCTATCTTTAATTCATTCCTTCTAATTAACTTTTTTTGTGGGGCGGGGGGAGAATGGTCTGTGGAATGTTTTGCCACCAATTCCACATGACCAGACAGATGCCACAGAAAGTGTTTCGTGAGCACTGTGATTAGTCCCTTACTCTTAATTTCTTGCTTAGTCCATCAAATCATGCTCACTCTTGGACTGGTGAGCTTCCTTTCCTTGAGTCCAGTGGTCCATGCAGCTGCTCTTTAAAGGAGTTGATTCTGCTCAAGCAGCTGACTGGTAGGCCCAGGTACCATTAGCAGTATTGCCAAACCAAATCCTTCAAAAATCATGGGGCAGGCCCCCCAAAATTGTGAGATTTTAAAAAGCAATAAATCTGCTTTTTTATTGGACTCCTGATTTTTGAGACTGTTTCACATTTTCAAGAATCTCTCCTCAACCATGAGGGCTAGAAATTCACTTTTTTTTTAAGTGAAAGCTAAGGTTTTTCAAGTCATCACATGGTTCCAGAAGCTGGGATTTAGAGAAAACTACCAAATATCATGACTATTAATATTGCAAGAGTTGGTAACGTTGCTGGAGCTTTGGTGACACTGCCTCCCATAAGAGTGGACTTAATATATGGAGATATACCTACCTCAGAGAACTGGAAGGGACCCTGAAAGGTCATCGAGTCCAGCCCCCTGCCTTCACTAGCAGGACTGAGTACTGATTTTTTTGCCCCAGATCCCTAAGTGGCTCTCTCTAGGATTGAACTCACAACCCTGGGTTTAGTATGCTAATGCACAAACTACTGAGCTATCCCTCTCCCCTCCCCCTTAGCCTAGGATCTTCCCAAAAATCTATAGCTGCTGTACTTCTGAAGCCCAGAGTTGTCATCTTGACGTAGAGGCTGAGTGCTAGAAAAAATAATGTTTTGCCTTAAGTAAGTGTCTTTGTATTTATTATGTTGTGTAAAATTATTGTTCATGTATTTATTTTATTTTAAAAATGGCAACCTTATCATTTAAGGCCTGATCCTGCAAACTGTTGAACACTACCTGAGGTATGGTGAATGCCCTTAGCTCCCCATGAAGCACTCAACATGTCTCAGGATGCACTGAGCTTTTCAGTATCCAGCCCTTTAGCGTTACATTTGAAGGGGAACCTGATGGCAGTTCCTGAAACACTTACAGTGGCAGTTTTCATTTTTGTTTTACCATTTTGCCTGGGCTATGGAAAAGCAGCAAAATGGTTACTCAGACCTGGAGCATTGCAGATATTCAGCTGTTCACATGAGATCAGTTATTATACAGCATTAGAAATAAGGCCTTTTCCCCCTTCTTCCTTGCCTGTTCGATTTTCACATGCAGCTTTTTCTCTATTTCCACTACAGAAATGGGCAAAGTAGTACATTTTTGTTTTTCATTTGGAACTCGCAAGTGCCCAGATTCTGATGAAAAAGTTTCCTAGGGAAATATTGCTTAAGAGATTGAGATTTTTACATTCAGTATACTATAATGACACTTCGCCATGTAAATAACAAACTGTGCTCCCCCCAACTTTGATTATTGTGTAGCTCTCAAACATTAGTATCTTTTATTTTTCTTCTAGAAAATTGAGAGAGGATGGAGGTTTCTGATTAAAAATAAGAATATTATTAATTTAAAATGTGTTAGATATACTTACAGCAATGTCGAAATGACTCTGCTTTCTGCCCAAAAACAACAGTAGTAAATTTGGAATGTCTTGTACTGTTGGAACACAGAATTTTATGTCAGTACAATTATTTTCCTTATGTACAATAATTCTGATGACATTTGCATAGTAATAATCATGATAGTGTGATAGATTATTCAGGTTTCTAAAGATTGTGGTGTCCATACTTATTAATCCCATATGAGAAAAAAAAAAGAGAGTCCCTGGTATTTTTAATGTCTTCTTATAAAAATAATGAAGTCACTATCATTTTAAAAAGACAGAATTATATTCTTACACCCTGAAGGCTTCACAAAAACGAGATTCTCTGTAATAATGTGAAAGTGCCCAAAGTAGATCAGACATGGAGAAGATACATTAACATATTTGTAAAGGAAAAGTACTCTTTCTTGGCTTTTGTGGCTCATATATGCCATAATGCTACAGTGTTTTACAGTCCTTGCATTGTCCATTAGTGCAAACATGTCCAGATGAATTCAGCGTTTAATGTTAAAAATCTTATAACATGCCAGTTTGATTTGTAGCCCTTCATATCATAGAATGCTAATTAAAATCATATTTTTGCATATGTCATGCCTTTCATGTACATATGCAAATAGATTCTATTGCCTTTCAGCTATTAGTAATTAACTTTATGAAGGACAGCTGTAATACATAATTAACAAAAATGTTTGCAAGCCCTTTTTCACACTGAAAGTTACAGCAGTAAAATTTTTGCTTATCAAGAGAACCATTTTAGTTTGAAGCTTCAGTCTGATATCTAAATTGTTTGAAGCAGTCACATGATATCCTTGAATTGATGTTAATGGTGTTATCACCAGAAGAACGTTACTCAATAGGCTTCTATCTTTTTCATTAAGTATGTCACCAAAATTAAATTACTGCAATTGAACTGCTTTGTGTTTGGTATAAGGCATAATGTCGGGTAATACATTTGTTGTTGTTGTTGATGATGATGTCTTGGTGCCACTTGGGCAAAATTCCTGTGCACAATGTAATCACAAACATTATCTCCCCATAGCCACAAAAAGAAATCCTAGCACTACAAATGCTGTTATTTTTGTCACTATGTATCTATGTATCTCCTTAAATAAGTAATATTTTGAAGGTTGACCAAACACAAGTAATGATTAAAGGCCTGATCCTGCTCTCCTTATTCATGCAGCATTCTTACTGAAGTCAATGGGTCTACTCACAAAAAGAAGGGTTGCAGGTTTTAAGGTTAAATAAATAGAAGGTTAGAGAATGTTGTATAGGTAAAAAATACATTTGTTTTTCAGTATATTACATAAAGTGTTTTTAAACTGCAAAGGGAATCAAGAACAAAATTGTTGCATATGTTGACAAGTGATTTGTTTTTAGAATTGTTTTATTGTATATCTGTGTAAGAAAACCCCAGATTTGATGTAGATCTGTAAATTTATGTTATTACGGTATAGACTTTCAAATTTAAAAGTAAGTTATGATATCTTGATCTAACAGTTAACTGATTAGATTTAATCTTCAATAAAATATGCTTAAGTATGTGTTTAAAAAAATAACTCCACCCATTTTTACAAATATTTTGGTAAAAGCCAATTAAAATTAATCTTTTTTTTAGGGTGGCCTTTGTGATGAAAAAACACTTAAATACTCACTTACTGGGCAAGCATGGAGTTGGAACACCAAAAGAAAGGTAAAGTACACTATTTTGCTAGTTTACACAAATGTGTTTATGTATACTGCAAAAATCTTTTAAGATGTATTAACTACTCTGATTTGGAGTCTATTAATATACCATATACATACATTTATTTTATATAATATATAGGCATGATCCTGCATTCCTAGCCCACCCAAAATTCCCACTGGAGTTGTGTGCATATGGAATATAGGTTTGGGGATGGCTGGTCCTTATTCAGTGAAGCACTTAAGCTTCAGTGGGAATTAAGACATACTTAAATGATTTGCTGACTGGGGACTCCATGGGTCTTATCGAATGCTCACTGAAGTCAATGGAAACATTCCCATAGACTCCAATGAGAGCTAGATCTAATTTTGTTTTTATTAGAGTACGGCCCAGGCAGCCATATTGGGCAAAACTTCAGTAGTTGTGTCTTGCCTTCCCAAAGACAAAACCAAAATTACACACAACCCATTTTTGTTTTTGGATTTGGTGCTTATAAGTTTATAGAATATTTTACATTTTCAAACCAAAAAATAGGCCCCATTAGGTTTTGTTGATTCACTGGAGTCACAACCACAGAGATAAGTGTGGGATCTGGAGACAAAAATCCCCCAACCTTCTCAACATTTTGAGGGTAGGGCCAGAGGAATTTGGTGTTAGGTTTTGGCCCATCTCTAATTTCTATATGTTTGTTCATTTACTCAAGTTTTTTATAAGTTTTTACAAGTTTTGTTTATAAAAATGTATTTTTTCTCTTTTAAAATGTACCTAGAATGCTTCATATTTTAAAAATATCTTATCACTGAAACAGTACTATGTTTACTAGGTCATCAAATATCAGATTTTGCTCCTCATTTGCATCATAGCTAATCCCACTACATAGAGTTAATGACTTTTTAGGCAAATTGAAATTTAACCGTTTCTCGACTGCCAAAACAAAACAAAACGTTTACTGAAATCATCCAGTGAAATAATGTTTAGTATTCACCAGTGTGGATGTTCCATACATACAGTATTCATCACTGTAAAAGTGCAGTGAGATCAGAATCCCAGAATAGGTAAAATGTTTTATCATGGCAAGAAATGGAAAAGTTGTATCTTTGCCATAATAAACAATATAAAATTAATATTTTAGGGGCTTTTTATTTAAAAAAGAAAAGTATCATAGCAAACAATATTTTAACTATTCAGTTTTTTTACAATAAATTATGAAGAATGTCAAATATTTATTTTACAAAAATTGTTTTCAGGTATGTAATACCATTTAGCTAATATTTAAAAACCTTTAATAAAGAGCATACTCCATTATACTGGACATATATAGATCCAAATTTTGGAAAAATCATGGCAAAATGGGTAACTAACACCAGGATATTTTATGTTTTAAGAATGCCCTAAATATCATGTTTTTTTGTTACAGAATTCATAGCTGTGACATACTTTAATTATAGAACTATCAAAGCCCTAACTATTGTCCTGGCAGCTGCCATTTTGATTTGCATCTACTGTATTTTTAAACTCTAAAATCTTCTTTTTCTTATTAGAATATTAGTTATTTTTGTAAGTGTCGCAGGATTGTGAGCCATGCTACTTCTTCAAGCATTACCTATGCACCCTGTTCATGATCAAAGAAGTGTTTTAAACCGAAAAGCATTCAAAACTTCAGATACAGATAGAGGAGTTCCTCTTCAGAAGAGGGAAAGTAAATGGTGGCTTCAGTATGGTAGTAAAAATTCCATGGTACAATCAAAATACTTTCCTTTGGCCTTATGCAGCTCCCATTAATGACACTAGAAATGGAAGTGGATCAGGCCCTTTTCCCCATGAATTTACCATACGTTACTTTTCAAATGACCTTAATATAGAATATTAAACTAACCGATCATCCTCTGGCATGTGCATATGTTGTATATATGGGTAGTGTGTATTTTTAACACTTTATCCCTTTTGGTGTTTAAGCCTTTTTGCAAAGTTTTCTCTTACGCTTTGTTCAAGCAGAATTTTAGTTATAGCACTATTACATCAAAATTATTCAGATTTCCATTTTTTCTGGACTATAGCATAAGGCATGGAAGAAAAATTATTACATTTACATCAAATCAGATATAACTGGTGTAAATTGTTAAATGAAAACTGTTAGTTTATATTTGTTATCTTTTTTGGTGGCACAGTGGAATTCTGAAAAATATTTTGCTCTTGTGGTTTATGTTGTCACGAGAAGCACTCTATTCAAATATATCTTTCTACAAAGGAGTATTTACTGCCTATTCATCATAAATACTGCATTGAAATAACTTGTATTACCCTTGTGAATATGTGTACAATAAAATATGCACACATCAGATCTCCAAATACACTATCTGATCCTGAGAGGCACATTTTTAGTGTTCACCATCTCAAATGAATTCTTTAAACAATGGATGCTTTAATCTAAAACAGTGTTATTTTTTTTCTGGAGCCCTCCTACATGCTCCTGTTTCCCCCCATCTTCTCCCACATTCCTCAAAGGCTTTTTGAACCATCAGCCAATGTAGGGTTGCAAGAGAGTGACATGATGTGTTCCCACCTGTCACAGGCTTTAGCAAGCTTCTTTCACAGCACTCCAAGCCCTTGCTGCCCTGGGAGCAAAGAACCAAGCTCAGGACACTAACCGCAGTGTCCCATCTAGTAGCATACTGTGTTGCAGCTATTACCCCTCCCCCGGCCAGCATAAACTAGTGATTTTTGAGTGACTTATTCTCTCTTCTTTTAAAATCCCTTATTTTGTCTTTGAATATTTCTTATTCATAATACTGTTTTATCTGGCATGTCCTCTTAATGTACAGCAACATCAAGTAGTAGTGGCAGGACTATAACAGCGATATAATTTCCTAGTAGGAGTCCCTTGCTGGTGATGGGTAAGATTAAAGCAGTATAATCTAGTACAGTAAATGCCCAAACACCACTCTCTCTTTCCACATTTCCCCTCACTTTATGAAGGAGTGTGATGTCTTTTAATGGCTTTAGGAACCAAAAAAACTCTTCATCAGCATGTTGAACCATCACTTTGGGCATAACTGTTCTCTAAATTAAGTTACGTAGTTTTCTTACCTATTTAAAACATTAATGCCTTGACTATAATTTTGCAAGCTTGCTATATTTTAATTTCTCTAGGACAATATAATCAGTTTATTCTTTATGTTTTGAATTAGATTTTGGCCTCTGATACATTGCCTATTTTAGCAAATACTAATAGAAGTTAGCTAAATAGGCTGTGACAATTAAATTAATAATGCATTTTGTTTGCAAGTGTTTAGTCTTCATGGTTTGACTGATATATGCAAAGATGGTAATTTATTAAAAGTAAATTCATGTAATTGTACTACAGAGTTCGATGGACCAAAAAAAGTTGTCAGCATGACTATCATCAAAAACAGAAAACTGAAATAAGTTCAAAAGGGTACATTGAAAAAAATGCTAAAATACTGTAAACACTGAGAAGTTAGTTGTTCTTTTAACAAACTTCTTAACAAAGTATTTTTGATGACAAGTACTGTGACAGTTCTGAGAAAAGGAAAACCTTTTGTAATCCATGCAGTGATGCTGGACTTCGGTAGCTTATTCTCTGCAACTTTACATCCTCCACAAGTATTAATCTTCAACATGATACACAAAATGAAGGTGTTTTCGAGGCAGTGCTCAGCATGTGCTCATGCAAATCAGGAAAGCAAGCATAATGCATAATGAGTAAGGTTGTTCTTAAAACATTTTTATGTGGATCTTATTTGAAAGGGAAAACATGTTTAAAAAGAGAAATTATCCCAAAATTTAATGCAGTTAAAATCAAATAAGCTTATAGTAAAGAGAATTATAGTGAAATGCTTATGTATTTCAACAAAAAGTACTGCCTAGACCATTATGGTCCATTACCAGAGAATAGCTAAATCAGAAGGAGAACATTTTTGTACAAAAATTCCTCTACGTTTTTTTTTTAATTTTATTGGAACTGTGATACTGATTTATTGTCAACTTGAATGTGCCTCAAAACTGGTATGTTATCTACCAAGTTCAAGGCCAGTACATATTTGGTAGTTCAGTGTCAGTAATCTTCATGGGACCTATAACTATAAGTATATCTTATTGGCAGGATAAATCTTTAGTTACACCTTTTATTATATGTTGTAGACAATGTGGTCTGGTGGTGAGGGAAAAGACGAGCAATGATGGTGCTGAGTTCTAATTTGTGTTAAGTCAATGACAAGTCAGCAGTGACATTATCGTGCTGCAAAATTGGGCCAAAGAAGGATTTCACTGAAAAATGTATCTCTGAGCTCACGTCTGTGTGTGTGTGTGTGTGTGTGTGTACGCACTCTCTCTGCCCCGCCCTTCCCCCCCCTCTCCCCACTCCCCCACAAAATGAACTAAAAGCCACTAGGACATTCATCATCTTAAGCAACTTTTTAATTATGAAGCATGGCTCAGGTTTAGAAATGCTTAATCTGAAGAGGTACATTTAACTGTCCTCCAGACATTTTTACAGAATGAGGGTAATTGCTGTAGAGTATTTATTTTATACATCTTGTAGAACATGGTAACTATGATTTCATTGTTCACTGGAACTCTGTCTATTTAATCTATCCAGTACATTTTTTATAGTAGTATACTAATGAAAGAACATAACTAGTTGTGGTTATCATATAATTATCTAGTCTACAAGGGGAAGTTTAAAGAAGTATTTTTTTAAGAAGTATCTTGACATACATGAGTAATCCCATTGAGTTCAATTGGATTGTTAACAGGCATAAAGTTCCTCATGTGCAAGTGTTTTGCAGAATCTTGGCCAGTGTTTTCAAGAATCTTTTGTAAGATTGTAAATATAAGGCTGTTCTTAGATTTTAAATATTTTGACGTGTTTTAAAGTACTAGTCAGAATGCTATAATGGGAATGTTTGTGATAGGGATGAATACAGTAGTTACCATTAAAAATCAACATTTATCCAAAATTACTGCACAGAGATCTCTGGGAAAACTCTGTTATTTCGTCTTGGAAGACTTGGGAA